TTCTTGTACATGTTTTCGGGCTTGAGAATGAAGCAGGTAACTAGAAATTAAGTTTGTATACCCCAGAGGTATTTAATAGGTTGTGGGCCTTTAACCTCTCAGAGATCTGCTGCATATGACACTTAAAATGTTTAAGTTTTCTGCAGTGAACCGTGACCATTCCTGGCAGTGACCTTTGAGGTCTTGAAGAAGATGATGGGGCCCTACAATGACAAATCCACCCAGACTCTGTTAACACCATTAAGCAAACAAACACCACCCAAATATCAGCTTTAAACTACAAACTGCTCAGGACAATTTCAAAGTGGTTAGCTAAGATGGTCCAGCCTCATAGACGACTCCAGCCAGAGCTTCAGATAAGTTTTGCACTTTCCCATCACACTGAAACTGGACAACAGCTCTCCCAGGACTTGAACATTATCTCAATTTTCTCAGGATCCCCTAAAGATGCCATCACACTCAGACAGCAGGAAGTAATTTTAAGAACATGATGTCCACATTCCCAAGAAGTGGGGGTGGATGGTTTTTGGACATTCAGTGGGCCCTGGATGTTTATCATCATTTGGAGGGTTTGGTTGCATGTTACTGGTCATGGTCAGGGGGAAAAAAACTAAGAAAAGGAAGTTAGATTCAGGAATCTCTTTCTGAAAAAAGTGGGGGGAGGGGGGCTAGATATAGAAATGATAGGATAAAAGAGTAGATTATTGAATCTACTTTTAAACTACAAAACAACTATTAATCTCAAATATTTTACATTGGTATGGACTTTTGTATACTCATACAAAATTTAAGATTAGTTTTGTTATAACATACTGTATATATGTTTCTACTCTTGTTTAAGGCATTGTACTTATGCAGCTCATTTAAAATTATAAAGTTCTAGTCCTTGAAAGCTACTATTACAGACTGTTTAGAATAATTAAGATAACAATCAAACTTGTAGTAAGGGTTTAGATGTAGACAGAAATACTCTTCATTTAGTCTCACATATTTTAGATGAATAGGTGGTCTTCAAACACTTCAGAGATCTGGTGCTGTGGGATGTTCTGCAT